AAAAAAAAAACCCCAGAGGTTACAGAAGGCATTAGCACTATTGATTTGAGCTCACGGCGTGAAATCAAGATTACCACGATTATGATGAAGATGACAAAAGGTGTTGGTGTTCATGCATTAAGTGGCAAGCTCCTTTCTCCCTCCCTGCCTCTTTCTTACCTTATACAAAAAGACTTCTGTGCTCTGTCAGATAGGTTCCTACCCAAAATGCTCAAGAGGCATGAAGGTTTCCCTGTTTGTGAGGAATTTTTAAAAGTTTGGCTCCACTTCGAGAGAGAAAAAGCTTCTTTACCTTCTGGTCTCAAACAAACCTGAGAAACGTAGCTCAGATAGGCAGCACCCAGGCAAGAAATTCTGTCCTTCCAGGATTTTTCCTCATAGCTCTGTCAAACTGAAAAGGTATCAATCAATGACAAAAAGTTTAGGTAGTTGTCTGACTTGCACTGTTTTTGTTGTTGCTTTGCATCATCAATTCTAAAATATATTCAATTAATTACTTTTATTATTTATTTTTGTTTCAATAAGTAGTCCTAAATTTGTTGAAGACAGTGATTCACAATCCTGCTTGTATGACACCCTTTGCTATCATGATACAGTTATCATGCTGGTCTATCATGAAAAAGTTTTCTCTTGAGAGAATTATTTGGATTATATTTGTTTATGGCATAATATGCAATATTATGTTTACACACATACATATATATGGCAGTTTAAGTGGAGTGGTAGTTGTATCTAAAAATATAACCACAGTAAAGCTTGTCACAAACTACCTTTCCCACTGCCCCAAAAAAATTTTTAGAGATTTGATGTGATTTTTAAACTCAATGTGAGGCTACAGTATGAAGCAGTAGCTACATACACAGAATATAATATTAAGAGCAAAGAAAGTAATAGTCCCACTGTACTCTGTGTATTTGGGGGTACCATATTTTAAGAGGGACATTAACAAGCTGGAGGGCAGCCACCATAGTGAGGGACTCTGAACATGTCCTATGAGGGACTGTTGAAAGAATTAGGTATGGTTAGTCTGAAAAAAAGAAGACTCAGGAGGGATATAATAAGAGTTTTCAAATAGTTGGAGGGCTATTATGTGCAAAAAGGGATTAGACTTAGTCTCTGTGGCTCCAGTGGATGTAATCAAAGGGTAGAACTTATTTCTGTTCAAAATAAAGAACTTCCTAACAGGTAGAGCCATCTGAAAATAAAATAGGTTACCTCATGTGGTAACCTATGTGATTCTCAGCCACTATAGAGATAGTGTACTCAAACAGAGACTGGTTCTCTGCTTTCTAGGGATTTTGTCAAGTGGATTTATGTTTAAGGTTGGACTAGATGAACTTTAAGGACGTTTTAGCCACATGAGTTTGTCATTTTAGAAAGTTGGGAATCATTTAAGAGGTAATAGACAAACAATTCAAGTTTTTAAGACTGGAAAGAATTTCTGGGTTTTCAGGAGATTCATTTCCTTGGAATTTTGTTGTTGTTTTGGACTTATTTTCTTGAGCCTAGGAAATTATTAGTGTAAAAATTCCCTCTACTTATTGGTAATATATCTGTAACTTATAGCTTAAGGGGCTGGGGGACTTAGTCCATAGTCACAAAGCTAACATTTATAGATATGACTTCAACCCAGGTCTTAATGACTCCAAGGTTGGCTAATCTTCTTTCCATTATAGCCAAGCCACTAGAACTCATTTTCCTTAATTGTAAAATGAGAAGATTTGCCTAAATGGTCTTCAAGGACTCTTCTAGTTCTAAATCTATGATCCTAAAATCTATTGAGAAGCAACACTATTTCCATTTTAAATTGGTGGTACTTCGTATTATGTAAGAGACTAATTTCTTTTTAGTTTTTTTTTTCTTTTTTAGGCAATTGAAGGTAAGTGACTTGCCCAGGGTCATACAGCTAGTAAGTGTCAAGTATCTAGTCTGAGGCTAGATTTGAACTCAGGTCCTCCTGACTCCAGAGCTGGTGCCCTATCCACTGCACCACCTAGCTGTCCCAACTAATTTCTTTTTAATAGTAATCTAATTTCAATTTTATTTTTAGTATTTATTTATTCAAGGTTTCTTTCTTTGAAATCCAATTCAATCAACAGATGTTTTTGAACACAAAGCACTATGGTTTATCAAAAAATTTAGAAGATCCCTGCCCTCAAGGCATTTATAGCATGTATAATTAGAAATATATGGGTATGTACATAAAATAACTAACAATGCTACTATGTTCTGTATAAGTGCCAAATGACTCTTACAAACAGTAAGTGATATAGAAGTTCTAAGGAGCAATAGGTGACCTATGGCCTTAGATGATCAGGGAGAACATCATGAAGAAAAAAGAAGTTTCCATGATTTTTACCCAGGACCTGTTTAGTTAATTTGCTATGACAGGTTAAATTCCTAATTTGTCATTCTGTTGCTTACCCAGTGCTCTCTTGAGAATAATTTCATCTTGACCAATCAGATGACAGTGAAGCTGTATCTTTACTTCTCTATCATGGCCTCAATCATCTCTGCCTATATTCATACCCCTTAGCTCACCATTAAATATATATTGACTTAATCTAAGGCATACCGGTCTTCTTCCCACTATCTAGATCATAACGAACCAGTTGAAACAACCTCCACATCAACCAGTTGTCCCCACACCAAGAAAAACACCCGAGGAAAATCTGCCAGAAGCTACCTGTGCCTTCTTCCATCTCCATGCCCCATTTGGCTCCATTCTCCTTATTCTAAAACAGGAAGATTATTAAATACAATTTCCTCATTTCTTTAACCATTCTCTTCTCTTACAAGGAATGTCATTAAGATGCCTCCCATTTTGGAGGAAATTTTACTTTTGCATCTGAGTGTTTTTTTTTTTTCCCTGTATGAACTCTGTATTCAAGAGGACCTGTGCATTGGTGCTGGAGACAATGTGAATTGAATGGGGAAAGGGTTGCTTTCAAGGATGAAACTTAAGACAATTTCAAATTTGACTTATTTGCAGATGAGAGATTGAAAGATAATGTGTGGTGCTGACAGGTGTTCTATTCTGAAAAATAAAAACCTATCAACTCTTGTTTATCCACAAATGGATCTACTGCATTGTATTTTATCCCCCAGTAAACTGGAAAGCCCAAACCAGACTACCGGGGAGAGAGACCGGCAGGGTATCCCAGCTAAAGAAGGAGGGATATAAGTGCATAATTCTTGAATTTTGATGTGTGCAATGCCTCATTGAGTGTATTCCTTTGGCTAGATTCCAGAGCCAAATATAAAAGTGTTTGAAGTAATAGCTAATGTATCTTTTCTGGGCCTTTTGCCCCCTCAATTGGACAGATTGTACTGAAATACTGAAATTGCTCAATTGATGAAATAAAATAGAAAAACAAACAAACAAACAATTTCCTCCATTCCTATGACCTTTTTAAAATGTCTGAAGAGGGAGACAGGCTTACCGCAAAATTCCATGTGCTTTTCTATGACCTACATGGTTTCTTCATCTCGTTTTTGAAAGTAAGGGGAGACACTGCTTTAACTTGAAACATGCAGTTGCCTTAAGTCTATCCTCAGACGTGTTAGTATACTTTAGGTTCTTTTTTCTGACTACACATTTTCCTATGTGGAGCTAGTGTATTGTAAACCAGCAGGTTCCTACATAAGCATAAAGTCTGTCCGACTGCATCTTTTTCCTTAGTTATTTGGTCTCAGGGTCCAATTCACTGTGGCTTACAATGAGGTGTATTCATATAGGATGAACTCTGGCTACTTGATGTAAAGAATCTCCTACAGAAACTGGTGACGTAGCTTCCTATCATTCTGTGAGAAAGTTAAAATTCCGACCTGCTTTTCTCTCTTTCCTAATTCATTTTTTTATTCATTTAATTAATCATTGAAGCTCAGATAAGTTTCTATCCTTCAGCCTTACAACAGTTACTAATGTTCAGTTCTAAATAAAATGGCTCAGTGCTGCTGCAATATTTAGTGTTACTATTCACTTAGTTTTCTGTTGCAGAACCATATTTTAGACAGAATGTATTAGTTATGCTTACAAGAATGTATTATACCTACATTAGCCATGGTTTACTAAGTTAATGAACTGTGGAGACAAAGAATCATTGCCTTCAAGTTGTGAAGTTGCTTTGGTTTCCTGTATTGGTACACCATGTATTACAGAACTTATTTTGAAGGTGTCTGTTTCATTTTTTTTCTCTACTAATTTGCTTTCATACTGCTTTTTTCTTTCTTTTTTAATGTGCTCATTTTTTTTTTTTTTGGCTGCAAGGGTGGATTTTCTTGTTTTGACAAAGAACCCTGAGCTTTGAGCATCCAATGCAACATTTTTATCATGCCAACTCCAGCAATGACTCTTCTGTCATTCCCCTCCCCCAATCCTACTACCTCTATTTTCTATGTCACAGCTTGTAGAATGTCCTTGACCAAATAGCACAAGTAATGCTATTAAATAGGCTGATGGTAATACACTAATTCTAGAGACTGGCACTGTTAGCATTGGTGTTTGAAGTATGAAATGCCATGACTCTTCCTGCTTCTTGGCAAATTTTAGATTTGTTTTTAGTAAAAGTGGATTAAAGCAAAAGAGTTTTATTTTGTTTTGGTTTTGGTTTGTTTGTTTGTTTGTTTTTTTCTCCAGATTCTGTCATAGATTTAATTGTTCCCCCTTTACATGTTTTGGACTCTTATTTGGATCTTGAAAAAAAAAGTTACAAAAATCATTTTGCACTTCAAAAAAACACATCTTTCTCTCCATCTCACTCTTTTTTTTCCTCCCCTAGGCCTAACTCCACCTACAACTCCTCCTCATAAAGCTAATCAAGATAATCCTTTTAGGACTTCTCCAAAGCAGAAGTCATCATGTAAAACCAGTGCGCCACCTTCAAAGAAACCCCGCTATAGTGAATCTTCTGGTACCCAAGTAAATAACCCCATTAAGAAAGGTCCAGAACAATCAGAGCTGTACGCTCAGCTCAGTAAGACTTCAGTACTATCCAGCGGACACGAGGAGAGAAAGGCGAAACGGCCTAGTTTACGGCTATTTGGCGACCATGACTACTGTCAGTCAATTAATGCAAAAACTGAAATACGCGTTAATTTATCACAGGAGCTCCAGGACTCTAGACAACTAGAATATAAAGATGCCTCCCCTGGATGTCAGGGGCAGACTCGTTCTTCCACAGATTCAGACCAGTGCTACACAAGAGAGACTTTTCAGGCGAGCAAGCAGGGTTCCCCGTGCGGCCACAGAAAACAGCTCCAAGACCAGGAAATCCGGGCTGAGCTGAATAAGCACTTTGGTCACCCCAGTCAAGCTGTTTTTGATGATGAAGCAGACAAGACCAGTGAACTGAGGAACAGTCATTTTAGTAACGAACAATTCTCCAAACTACCTATGTTTATAAATTCAGGACTAGCTATGGATGGTCTGTTTGATGACAGTGAAGATGAAAGTGATAAACTACGCTACCCTTGGGATGGGACACAATCGTATTCATTGTTTGATGTGTCACCTTCTTGCTCTTCTTTTAATTCTCCATGTAGAGATTCCGTGTCTCCACCCAAATCCTTATTTTCTCAAAGATCCCAAAGGATACACTCTAGATCAAGGTCCTTTTCTCGACACAGGTCATGTTCCCGATCTCCATATTCCAGGTCAAGATCAAGGTCACCAGGCAGCAGATCTTCTTCAAGGTAATCTAAGTTAGAAACAGAAACAAAATATTGACAGATTGACTCAGTCCGCAGTCAAAAGCATTCTAAATCCATAGCTATTTCAGTTCTTGCCACTGAATTGCGGAGAGATGCCAGAGCTAACAAGATTGTTGTTGCACTTACAATTCTCCTCCTCTCCTCTTAAATCTTCCAGCCTTGAACATGCCACATAGAGCCAGTCAGATCAGAGAGAGCAATTTGTAAGAAACTTGCTCATCTAACTTTTTCCATTACCTGGACAGCTGCCGTATGCCAGTATAGTTGAGATCCATGCAGGATAAAGCTGACAATGTACCAGACCTGGTGCTCAGTGTTAGCATCAATAAGAGACGCTGAGAGAGAACACATCACTCCAGACCTTTAAGCTGACCAGATGATCACAAACTGTCACTGGGAAATCTCCCTAGTAGGGAGGAGGAAAATGCCCGTTTATGTAAGATGTAGTTCTAGAGTCTTCCGGAGTGCCGATAAACTCAGGCTCAGTGGCAGGTACAAATGTTGTTGTTGTTGTTGTTTTTTTCCCTTCTGTTTTGTTTTTCTCCTCTCCTGCAGACCTTGTTACTTCTATGAGTCCAGCCACTGCAGACATCGGGGACATCGCAGCTCTCCCTTACATGCAAGGTCACGCTCCAGATCGCCCTACGGCCGTAGGCCCAGGTGATGATGCCTTTGGTTTTCCTCCACCTCCCTTTTCTTCCTCTTGATAACAAGATGCCTAGAAATGTATTCTTCATTTTATACTGGCAAATTGAGGTGCTTGATTTAATGATTAAGTTGTGTTTCCCAGGTATGACAGCTATGAAGAATATCAGCATGAAAAGCTGAAGAGGGAAGAATACCGCAAAGAGTATGAGAAACGGGAGTCTGAAAGGGCCAAGCAAAGAGAGAGGCAAAGGCAAAAGGCAATTGTAAGCAGCATGGAGATTATTTTCATTCTAAAGGAATTTGTTGTATTTTATTTCTTCATTTTGTAGATTAGAATAACTAAAACCTAGGTGGACCCTCTGGTAAAATAACTGACAATATCTTTTATCTTTAAAAAATCGCATAAAGCTATCTTCAACTTTATAACATTGCTTACCTCTAGGCAAATGCCAAGTTAGCATGTCGTCTTCACCTAAACTTTTACTTCATGTTTTATGCTATAGATTAAAACATTTAATCATCATTGAAGAGAGAAAAGATATAATGAGTAAGAGAAATTAGGTTTGTCTGGTCCCAGGATGAGTTCCCAATTATTCCCCTGTTACTTTTGTACCCACTGTAAGATCCCAACAGAAGAGACCCAGGTGACATCATTTGGTTTCCTTATTAATCTTATTGACTGAGACCACAGAGATTGAGTAGTCATTGAAGAGATGGGCTCAGGTTTTGGGAAGGTGAAACTTGGAGGATTAAGAGAAATTTTAGGGATAATTGTCATTCCTTGACATTTCTATGAATATACAGTCAGTTTATTTATGCACATTTATCCGCATCTTCCAGCTGTTTTCTTTGCAGAGCCCATTATATACTATAATACAATGTTTTCACAGATTCTCCATAGACCAGGTCTAGAGGTAGTAATAAATTTCTCTTTATAAAAATTCAGTTTTGACCTATCCTTATAGTTTAGGCTGACTCTCATCCATCCCTTACCATCTGTATCCAGTTGGCCACAGGGTTTTCCCCCTAACAGCTGCTGAAGCCGTCGCTAATGTGGATCTTCACCCCAGAAAACCACTGTAGTTCCCTGGCTCGTTAGCTAGCCATTGCTTGAACAATCACTGGCAGCTACTTAAATAAGTCTGAGGAAAATTCTGTTGCATTTGGCTATAGGTGCGAAGAGCCAAGGGGAAAAGTTCATTTGGTATTCTTAGTAATGACTTATTTCAATCACAATTTAAGGGAAGACTGCAATATTTGCTACTCCAAGACAGAGAGAGAGAGAGAGAGAGAGAGGGAGAGAGAGAGAGAGAGAGAGAGAGAGAGAGAGAGAGAGAGAGAGAGAGAGAGAGAGAGAGAGAGAGAGAGAGAAAGAGAGAGAGAGAGAGAAAGAGAAAGAGAGGGAGAGAGAAAGATAAAGGTTTGTGGCCATGTGACCAAGGAGAAATGTGAGAAAGCTACAAAAAGATAACCAAAATCAAACTATAGCCTCTCCATATATACACTGGAGAGATGATCAAAGATAAGCAAGGGATTGGTCAACAGTAGGCATGAAAAGGAATGGCATTGAAATTTGGAAGAAAATACTGGCAAGGTGAGAGAGTTAGTATATGTAGGGTAGTTGGGGCTTAGACATAGACTTTTTGAGACTGGCAGACACTTGTCATAGCTCTCATCCTCATTTTCCCTAGCTATGAAATGAACTGTGGTTTTAACAGAGTTTAATTCATTAACATTTGGAAAGACTGATGAAAATTAAAAGTCCCATTTGGGGAGTATATTGAAAGTATATTTAATTAGTGACCAAGCCAAGACCTTTTTTAATAGGCAGGAAACATATTGGTGACCTGTGCAGAAAAAAGGCACATTTTTAGTGTTTTCAGATTTGGTTTTTATTAGATTAAAAAAAAAAACCCTTCATTATATTACCTCATAGACATTGCATACCTCTGCAAAACAGATTGTGTTTTAAGTAGTAATTTTTTATGACTGACTAGTAAACAAATCAATCAAAAAAGGTTTTTCGTGTAGACTACTGAAAAGCTAATGTTAAAATATAGTTCATAAGCATATAGTGGCCCATGTATGAGAAACCTTTCCTTTTTCAGGGAGATATACCTATACATCAATGACTGAGTGGGCCATATTTTTGCAGAGAACTATTTAGGGCCATTAAAAACTTTTGGGAAATTTTAAAGAAAAAATAGGGAGCCATGGTTCGAAATTTTGTAGGTCTTTTGAGATAAAAAATAGATAAACTTAAATGATTATTAATTGACACTTACCATGTCAGAGACATATATAATTAAATTGTTCGTTGCTGTTGTATTTGTTTTATCTGTCCCAAACACCGTCCTAAGAACCACTAGGGTCTTTCTGAAAATCATTCCAAGCTCTATCTTTTAGGTTTAAAAAGTTTAAAGTCATTTAAGCTATTTTAATGGAACCTTGTGAGCCAAAGCTCAGTATTATACATCTAAACCACAACTGTTTTAATTTCCTATGGAGTTTTCGGTCCACTCTATTAGCAATCTATACAATCTGCTGCCAAAAAAACATGATAATGAGATGTTAATTTAAAATACGAAAAAAGAAATTATGATATGGCCTGGCAATTTAAAACCATATCTTTAGTGCTTGGGCAATGACTCTGGCATTTTAATTTTGCCAGGTCAACTGTGCCCAAGTTGACCTAGCAAAACAAAACTCAAACCAGTAACAATGCTTAGCGAATGACAGACCAACAGCATCATAGGGTCTTTGATGTTAAGGTAATTATGCCATATTGCTGATACACATTTTTGTAGGGAGGAAATGATTCTTTTATGTGTAGTGGTGTTGCATTCTGTGGCTAAGAGCATTGTTAACCCAAATGTACTCCCAAACTATTCTTACGTCTAAAGGGTCATCATGAATGCCTGTACACATGCTGCTCTCTTAGGCAGCCATCCATTTTCCCTCAAGGGTATATTTGTTTCTATCTTAACTCAAACATATACAGTAATCCTGAGTGTGCCTAATCTTGATTGATCTCAGAAGATAAGCAAGACCAGTTCTTGTTAGTATCTAGTTTGGAGATCTCCCCTTGAACCAATTGAAGGTTTCTTTTCAAGATTCTAAACATAAAATTAGGACTCAGTAAACACCAGTTGAAAGAATTTATGTCCTCCAGGCTCAGCAGTCTGAGCTCATCATCATCATCATCATATTCTTATTAAGAAGAATAGTAGAAGAATATGTTTTAGACCAAGGGTGGGGAACCTGCAGCCTCAAGGCTACATGTGGCCTTCTAGGTCCTTGGGTGTGGCCTTTTGACCTAATCTGAGTTTTACAGAACATCGGAGGTGTCTGGACGGTTCTTTTTATCTCTCCACATCTTTCCATTCATTGCTATCCCCTTTTCAGACTTTTGTCCATGGAACCATTTTCTACTATGGGATTCCTTTGTTCTCTTCATTGGTAACGTTCGATATTTGTATTGGAACTGTTAGGAGGTATCAAATCACCTTCAGCTTGGGGAATGAACTCAGAAGTCTTTAATTGTTTGGATCAGAAAGAAGAAGGATTTTCATGCTATATGTTTCTTAAGAAACATGTCCAGAAGTGAAAATCAGGGTTTAAATTTGTCTTGTCTTTTCAGTTTTGTTTCCAGCACTGCAAAAATAATGTTTAATGATTTAGTCTTTACCCAGATTCAACTTATTCTGGGTAGTTCATAATTTGAAACAACAGCTTTTCCCCAGTTTACTAATTGCCCTCATACTGTTTTTGATATTAGATAATGCAAAGTCAGTTAATATAAGCCTGTTTCTTTCTGTATTTGTCCCCTGTGTTTTGACTTAATGAGGATTTACTATTCTTGTTAATGCAACATAAACCTTAAGTTTTATTACATACCCCAGCAGCAATTCTTTATAAATGTAAAGTATACATACATATATTCCTCTCCTGCACATATGCCTTTCCTTAGTGTCAGAGAAGGACCGTGGCAGAGCCAGAATGGATGAGTGTGAACTTTGGATTGGGAGGAGGTCTAGATTGAGGGCTCAATTCTTCCTCTTACCTGGGTGATGTTGAGCAACACACTTGACTTGCATGAGCCTCAGTTTCCTCATATGGTAAATGAATGGGAGGTGGGGTGGATGAAATGATTTCTGAGGCTCCCTCCAGTCTGTGGTTCTTTGTATTTCCAACTAACTCTTCCACTAAGTCCATCCACTGCCTGGGGACCAATGTCATTCCTGAATTGATCATTGGCTCAATGATGGTGAGCCTTTGTCGTACTCAGCAATGCCTGCAGTGCTACGAAGAGAGGTTCTGAACCTGCCCAATTCTTTTTAAACACTTACGTGAGGTCATAGGACTGATGACTGGGAGGGACAGCCTTAGATATGATCTTGTGCATCTTCTTCACCTGTGCAGGAGAGGAAATCTCTCAGAGGTGGCAAAGTAAGTTGACTGGGGTCACACAGCAATATGAGTAGCAGGGCTGGTATTTGAATGGGAATCCTTTCCAAATTCAGTGCTCCTTCTTCCCCTCACTGGTGCTATGGATTTCAGTTTAATTTCAGAATTCTCTTAAGTTTATTAAATCCTTTAGGGGTAATTCATATAGATTTGGAGCTAGAAGGACTGTGAAACTCACATAGTCTAGTCTCCTTTTTTTTAAAGGTAAGGAAACTGAGACCCAGAAAGGGGAAATAACTTCCTAAGATCACAGCGTCAAGATCTGAGCTCAGGTCCTCTGATTTCAATCTTCTTTCTGCTACAGTATGGCTCTCGCCTCAAAGTGGTTCCTTTACAATTCAGTTTTTTTTTTATATTTATTTCTCCCCACTTTTCTTTTTATAGTAGTAACCTTCCTAAAATATATGTTTGTTTTTTTCAAAGCACATACCACACATATATGTACATACTGCTGGAGAATTTACATGAGAGTCAGTCCATGCACTCTGCTGTTTTTGTCATTTCCTTTAAGTAAATAAAATGTAATGTGGTGTTAGGATCTCCCTGCCAAAGGGGATGCAGTACAGTTCTGTGGTTATTATCACTAGCCACTTAATATTTATTGACCTACTCAATGTGCTGCATTGTGTACAGTGTACAGTAGCCCAACCATGCTTTTGGAGGGGTATTGAGATATACGGTATACACGAAAGTGAGTCTGGCAGCCTGTTCTGCTTCGTCCAAGTGGCTCTTGCAGTTCAGTAACTAACATAAGTAGAACTGTACTTAATCAACTGTTTCAGCATAGTAAAAACTCTGATTTGCTGAGGTACTCTTTAAGAGTGATTCCTGTGTACATTTAACCTAAATTATAAAACTGTAGAAATTCCAAAAGGCAATCCCTGTTCATTGATCCAACCCTGTTACCCATATAGGATTGTTACTATGAAAATCTACTCTAACCTGGCTTTTATTCTGAAAATATAAATTTCTAGAATCCTAGAGAGTTCCTGCAGAGAACATATCTGATGCTTTTCTTGGGTCTATTCTATAGAAACTAGAACAAGATTGTTTGATAGACAGGTGAAGAGATCTCAGTAAGACATGATGTTTGTTCCCCCACTTCTAACTTGAATTACTTGTTTTTGAATTTTATTTTTATTTTGAATTTAACAATAATTAATGAATATTTTAACATGGAAAAAAGAGAGAGGTTTGTATAAGAAACTGAATTTCAGTCGAGTACAATTTTTTTGTTTGTTTTTTTGGTGAGGCAGTTGGGGTTAAGTGACTTGCTCATAGTCACACAGCTAATAAGTGTTATGTGTCTGAGGTTGGATTTGAACTCAGGTCCTCCTGACTGCAGGTCCAGTGCTCTATCCACTTTGCCACCTCGTTGCCACCTAATACAGTTTATTTTTAAGAACACATATATAATATATATATATGATCCATATATATGCAAACTTAACAAAGTAAAAATAAAACTGCTCTATATCCCCTTCTGTACTTTTTTTGTTTTTCTGTGCATTTCAAATGTTTTATGGATGCCTTTTTGGGGGGTAAGAGGACATTTATCACTATCACCTAACCCTTTTCCCTCTTGTAGTCCTCCCTCACAACAAATATGTATAGTCCAACAAAACAAATCAGCCCATTGGCCATATTTGCAAATACATAACACCTTCTGCATCTCTGTCTAGCGCATTACTTTTCTATCAAAGGGTGGGAAGTGTTTCATCCTTTTAACAAAGAAGAGAGCTGTTTTTTGTTTAAAATCATTTAATTCATATGACTTTTATGTAAAAGAGAAAAATACAATTCTATGACCGGCATCCACACACAATTAACCAATCCTCTTTGAGTCTAACCTAAGTCTCAGTAATTTAAGTGCATTTCTTTTTGTTCTGCCCTCAGTGGAGACAGAGAACAGTTAACCCCTTTTAAGGTACCCTTGGAGTGTTCTTGGAGACAGTTCTAAGCACTCATCTTTTCTAACAGCCAAATAATACCATTACCTTTAACTTTGTCTAGTCCATTGGAGTTTCACACATGTGATTGCTTCTTTCCAGAAATCAAAGAATCACTTGTTATTTTAAAAATTAACCTCAGGCTATAAAAATGATCTTCCTATTTTTGTAAGCTTATAAATTGCTAATGATATTAGAGTTTAATAATATTAACCAACATTGGGCACAGGAGACTAGGTTCTTATAAGTATACTAGTCTGTGACAAGACATAGGGAAGCAAGAAGAGCTTTATTCCCCAGGGTTCATAGTTCCCAGGGCTCTACTCTGATGAGAGATGTCAATTTCCATGGGCCATGTTTTCTTAGTATGCTAAATTGGTAGTGAACTTTACAACTTTTAAAAATGGAAATTTTTCTTTATCTATTTCCTGATGAAAAACAAGTACACAGAGACACATTATTTTTCTGCGAAGAGGCCATTAAGCCAGTGCAAGAGTTGTTAGTCAGTCTATGGTTTTTTTAAATCTAGCTTTGTTCTTTATTTGACCTGGACCAATGCTTTCATTGGCGTTGAGAATTCCTGCTACCAGTGGTCACTGCTCTGCAACATAGAGTATCAAAGCATTTCCTAGGGGCACTTAAGGGTTAAGTGACTTGCCCAGGTTGGTCACATGGGCATATGTCAGAGGCAGGACCCAAAGCCCAGTTTAACTGGCTCCGAGTCTCAGTCTCTCCACTTGGCTGCCTCTCTAGTTTTCATCCAACATGAAATATTCCTATCCAGTATAAAAAGGTGATGTCTAAGAGAGAAAAAGGAGACAGCAAAGAAGAAGAAAGAAATGCATTGAGGAAGTTAGAATGAGAACAATATAAACATAGTCAAAACATGGAAGGTCATGCCTGCTTGACTAGAACTTGCCTGGCCTGTGAGCTCATGTTAGGCAAACTTGTATGTTTGTCTCTAGGTACACATGTAGATACAACTTCTTTACCTCTTCCTCCTCCAGCACTAACAAGAATGCTTCTCTTGTTTTCCTTGTAGGAAGAGCGTCGTGTGATTTATGTTGGTAAAATCAGACCTGACACCACCCGGACAGAACTGAGGGACCGTTTCGAAGTTTTTGGTGAAATTGAGGAGTGCACAGTAAATCTGCGGGATGATGGGTGAGAAGCTTCAAGATTATTTCTTGTTTAGAAGCTGAAGTTATGTAAAAAATTATGGCCATAAGATTCCTGGCATGGGAGTTGCCAGTGTAAGTGCTTTGAAAGATGACATGTTGAGTTCAAAACCTTATTTATTTTCTTTCATGCCTATTTATTAATCTTTCTAGTTGAGATTTCCTGTCCCAGAAAGAAGTATTTAGCTGCCTGACAGGACAATCACCCTGATAAATGGAGACAGAAGTTTAGGTGTTGCACGAGGAAGGGGCCTCATATACATTTATATATGTTAATGCTTTGTAGCAGTCACTGAACTTTCCCCCTTTTTGTCCATTACAGAGACAGCTATGGTTTCATCACCTACCGCTATACTTGTGATGCTTTTGCTGCTCTTGAAAATGGATACACTTTGCGCAGGTCGAATGAACCTGACTTTGAGCTGTACTTTTGTGGACGCAAGCAATATTTCAAGTCTAACTATGCAGACCTAGGTATGGATTTCTGTTGTACACGAGATGAGGACTACAGAATGTAAAGATCAGAGTAGGAGTGAACATAATCCATGGGCACCTGAGGTTGGACTTTAGCTTTGTCTTGTTGGAGAGAGTATATGAATACAGATTTCATGTATAAAGCAACCTCAGAGGCAAGGGGCTTAGGAAAGAAGTCACACCTCTTAGCTCTAGGTTCAGGTTCTTATTTTCTGTGGGATGTGTATAATTTTTTTAAATTAATAACTAATACTGAATCCTTCTGAGCAGATAAAATATTGTAATCATTATTTTGTTGAAACAACTGTCTAAAAATCCTTGTTTTCTCATCCCCTCTATTAAATCCCATTTGCTATGAACTACAGCTCATGAGGGAAAATATCTAGCTTTTGACATACACGTTCTCCTTTTCACTTTATAAAGTTCAATTTTTTTCCCACAGCATGTAAATCCCTACATAAAGGGGATTTTATGAGACTTATTCATCTCTGAGATTATTTTAAAAAAAAGCATGCTACTACCGAGGCATCTCACATAAAATTTTTTAAATGAATTAATGGCTATGACCATTAAAATTATTACATAGTCCTACAAAAGGACATTAACAACTTCTTGTTTATATAAAGCTCTAGGCCTTATGTAAATGAATGAGTGAATATAAAATGTTGTTTTCTTTTCCTAGACCAAGTGGTGTCTTCTTAGAGTAATTGACATAGGTGATGTGCATTGTTCAGAGTGAATATGCCATAATTCACTTCACTGGCTAAATAGATGGTTTAAAGCAGGGGAAAAGAAGCTGACTGTTAGAGAGATAGAAGGCTGGTGATGAAAATATAAAAGGTGGCAAGTCATTTGTTCAAATTTTGACTGATAAAAACAGCAAGACAGATTGAAGTCTTGAGTTGATTTGACTTATTTTCTTCAGTGATGAAGGCCAAGGTGTTTCTAGTTTCTCAAAACTTGTAGAATTTCAAATAAGCTATATAAAGAGACTCTTTAGAATCTGGTTCATCATTTGAAGGAAGTTTGAATGGTATTCTCAAATTGAACTTAATTGTCCTTGAAATATTTCAAGACATAGTAGTCATTATCATTTTACCTTCCATATAATAATAGATTTTAAGCCCTTTCTAAGCTAGATCTTTGTTTTTGGAAAACTATATTTGAGATGCATTCTCTAACAACTACTTGAGGAATGTTTTTAGTGAACATAAACGTTAAAGGTATTTTAAAAACAGAAGAAACACATTGGATATCATATCTGGGACTGATCAAAATGTACCTGTGTTGGGTGATTTCAAACATGAATATGCTTGGAGAAAAATAATCATATCAATAGTAATGGAGACAAAAGGCTATCAAGTGTGTCAGGGGAAAATAAAAATGCAGTCAATCAATAAGCATTATTAAGCACCAGTGCTACACACAGGAACTGGTCTAGGTTCTGAATATACAAATACAGAAGTGAGACAGCCCCTGCTCGTAAGAAGCTTATATTCTACCAAAAAGATAGATGAGTAAACAAAGGAACTATACAAAATAAAATCTTGATTAGCCAGAACTAAACTAATAAGAACCTTCAACCAAGCAGACATTTTTACTTTACTGTACAAAGAGGAACTTTACTGTACATAAGAAGAAAACACGCTTATTGTTAATGTTTAAAGGAAAATCCAAGGAATATCCCAAGGACTGTAATCATTGAGCCTAATCTTATATATAACATTTAACTCTTCAGTGTTGTCCAATGAAAATTCATATTTAGAATGATGATGTTTAAATACCACCAGATCCCAAATTATCAACTCAATTTAATTCATCAAACATTTATTGAACATTTATGACTGTCTTAAATGTTGAGATTCGTAGACTGATTCAAATCAGTCCTTGCTTTCAAAGAATTTATGTTCTACTAAGGTTTATTTTATATATATAAGCATATACATATATAGACACGTGTATACATATACATACATATGTATAGATATGTATATAGTAAATTCAAAGTAGTTTGGGATGGAGGCAGGGACAGGACACTAACACATGAGGTTTACAGGAGAGGCCTTTGTAGGAGGTAGCATCTGATTTCAGCCTTGAAGGAAGCTAGAAATTCTTAGCTATTTAGATGAGGAAGGAGACCATTCCAGACTGGGAAAAGAAGGCCCATAGGCAGGAAGAAAATGGAAAGTCATATACAAGAAAAGCAGACAAACCAGTTTGGCTAAAACTCATTATGCATGAATAATATGAAATAAAACTGGAAATCTAGACTGAGGCAGTATTAGAAAGGGCTTGAAATGCCAAATGGAGGAGTTTTTTTATTGATTTTAGAGTCAGTTGAGAACCAGTGAAACTCCCTGAAGAGGGTGATGGCAGTCATACTTGTGCTTTAGGAAGATCTATTTTAGGAGTTGTATGGAAGATGGATTGGAGATAAAATTGGAGATAGGGAGTCAATCAGGAAGCTGTTAGAGTAGAACAGGTAAGAGGTGATGGGGGCCTAAACTATAGTGGTGATTAGGTTAATGGAAAGACAGAGATGGATACCAGAGATGTTTTAAAGGTACAGTTAATAAAACTTGGCAATTGATTGGATACAGGGAGTAAAAGAGAGTGAAACAAGGATAGTGATTTGAGATTGTGAACCTGGTTAAATGTTGATTATTCTTTGAACAGAAATAGGGAAGTTTGGGAGAAGGATGGTGTAAATGGAAAGATAATAAGTCCCATTCTGGACATTTAAGATTGAGATGGCAATGGGACATCTAGGTGGAACTGTCCAACAGATAATTAATAAGAGACTGTAACACAGGAGAGATGAGGGGTAGATGTAAGTTTGGGAATTAATCTAGATATAAATCATAACTGAGCCTATGTAGAAGTTGATAGAATTACTAAGAGACATTGTAGAGTGAAAGGAAGAGGATCAAGGACAGAGCCCTGGAAAGCTTAAGGCACGGGACATGAATTAAACAAAAAATAGACTAAGGAAGAGGAATAAAACTGAGAAAAAAAGAGAACTAAGAAGCAGTATTTTCGTAAAAGCCAAAGGAGGAGAGGTTATCCAGAAATCAGTAATGGAGGATGGAGGTGAGGGGAGGTGTCAGCCATGTGAGATGTTGTCCAAAGGTCAAGAAGGATAAGGATGATGGAAAGGCTGGTAGAATAAGCAGTTAAGAGACCAATTAACCTAGGAGAGAGTAGTTTAAATGAAGTGACTAAAGTGGGCATGTATATGCCCCAGCAGTCATTGGGACAAACTTTCATTGCTAAGTGAGAACTGGTTTTTTCCAGGCCTTAGCTTCAGATGTGAGTGTATAAACAATTGTATCTTTATATAATTGCAATGGTACAATTATTACACATCATATATGAAAGACATGAAAGAGGGCAATAAGTTCAAGTGATAGAAAAAAGTGCAAAAAAAATGAGAAAATGACATTACATTTAAATTATGTACTAATATGATTTGAATAAAAAATTCAGAAGGGGAAACAAATGAGCAAATTTTTTTATCATGTTAAATTTAATATTTAGATCAGAAGCTGGATTTCAAAAAGTTAAGAACCAGGTGAGGAAGGAAAGGAACAAAGGGTAGGTGACTTTTTTCTAGGAATTTGTCCATGAGAGGGAGAAGATATAGGACAATAGCTTGAGGGGATGGCTAGGTGAAATGGATTTATTTTCAGAACGAGGAAGGAAAATGCTCATTATATTGTACTTCCTGAGGAAGAAAGGGAGATTAATACATTTTAAAGAGATTTCTGTGAAGAGCTTTCTGGCAACCACATTAACCAAAACTTTTAATTAGCTACAATAGCCCATTACTTCAACTTACTGGTTAATTGAGGTTTTGCTGTAGTGAGGCAAGGAGTTGCCTGTAGCTTTCTGATAATTTTATTGCTAGTTTCTTCACAATGTTATGTAATATGGCTTGCTTTATCAGCAGTTTATAGTAGTAATAACAACTATCAATAAGTCAGACAGATTTACTCTTCACCATCATGAGAGAAAATGTGGCCTTTCATGTAAAATTCAAAATGTTGGAATAGGTATATTGTATTAGAAATCTTTGAAAATTAACATACCAAGCCTACAAAGAACTAGAAGTAAAATAGGTGCCCATCAATTGGAAAATAGCCCGACAACTTATGGTATGTGAATATAATGGAATATTAATATACCATCAGAAATGATGAGTATGGTAGATTCACAGTAACTTGGGAAGACCTGTGTAAATGAATGTAGAATGAAACAAGGAAAATTATTTATGTGAGGATCACAGGAATGTACAGTAAAACAACTTTTAAAAATTTTAGAAATTTGAAGTCCTTCGTCTTCACCAGGGAACTTAAATTCTGCCCCAGAATCAGTCTGGGTTCTGATTGGTGGGCTTTCACTTGATCTTGCCTAAATCCAAGCCTTCATTTGCCTCATTTGGCAGCCATATCCAGATGTCTACCTACCATCTGCATGGTATCCTCTTGCCTGCCTTTCCAGCATCCCTTTATGAGTAGTCTTCCTAGAACCATCTTGCTTTGGGATTTTTATCACCAGTCTGTAGCTGTGTTTGATGCACAGTAAATGTTTAATACGTTATCTACCTGTCTGTTCATCCATCCATCCATTTATCCACTTATCATCTGTCTTCTATCTATCTGTCTGTCTGTCTATCTATCTACTTACCTACTTATCATCAAAGCAGTGACCAATATGCCTTCAAAAGACTAATGATAAATTATTCCTACTACTTCTTGGCAGAATGGTGATAGACTACAGAATATAAAACATATTTTCGAAAATGGTCAATATGTTGATATGTTTTCCTAGACTATACAAGGGAATGTTATAAGTGAGGGCTTGTCTTGGGAGGGGGGTAGTTGTCAGGGAGTGAGTTAGTGGATAATGTTTGAAATGTAGGAAGGAAGGAAGGAAGAAATCAAGTAAGAAAAGAAAGAGCATCAAAACTTTTTAATACACAAAAGAAAACAAAACAGGGCAATTTTGTTACCACCATGTTAAATGTAATATACACTTTAAAAGACCTATATTTACAGAAGTTCAGTTTCCTATATAATGTTCTTGTTTGTTCTTCTGTGTCTATTGAAATATTCATGTTTGTTGATGACTTAGTTAATAAAACAGAAAATTTAAAAAGATAAATCAATATCAGGCATGTCTCAATTGACAGAACTTTTCGTTAAAAAGTTTAAACTTAACTAATTCATGAATTATCACAGATTCACTGTAAGGAATTTGGCAGTCTGGACTTAGAGTATTTCAAACCCTATTCTGCCATTTGTTCTTCATAATGGCATAAGTTGGAGATGTTGGCTCTTCCAGGCTTTATTACAGCTAAATTCTGATAAGTGGATAACATTTCACAGTAACCAGTATTGACACTACACCTGCCATTTTGATTTGATAACAGCTCCATGAATGCTAACTCTGAGTTAAATAAGGAAATCATTTGTTTGGGAATAAAATAGTCAATTCAGTTTTTCTTCATTAATTGCATGTCTGTTTGTCTGGATGAGGATATGCCCCAGCAGTCACTGGGACAAAATTCCATTGCTAAGTGAGAACAATTTTTCCTAGTCCTTAGCTTCCGATATGAGGATCTGTATGAAGATACTATAATGATACAATTATTATGTCTCAAAGCTGAATGACTCAAAAGAAGCCAATAAGTTCAAGTGATAGACAAAGTGCAAAAATAGTGAGAAAAATGACATTGCATTTAAATTTTGTGCTAAAATGGATTCAGACTGATTGCTGAAGAATTTTAAAGATTTCTCCCCACCGCAGTGAACAGCATGTGAGTCAGTCAATTAAAACACCAGAATTTCTGGTATTATATTTTATGACTTATGAATAAAACATAACAGTGTTTATTAATATTATTGGTAGAAAAAGTATGATGGTCAATATTTTATCAGAAAAAAATTCTAAACATAAGACACAAATACAAAGTAGGAGGCCTAGTGGGAGGTATTCTATTCCATTCTCTGTGTCAGGTCTTCTGATGAGCCATATTACACCTCACTGTCATGAGAGAAAATGTGACCTTTCAAGCTTCAAAAGACTGTTGTGTGTATATAGAGGACTGATACGTACACACACATACACACATACATATAAATATACACACACCCATATATGTGCATATGTGTATATACCTATGTTTATATCATTTTATAATGTTACACTATATTATATTGTATTGTATCGTATCATATCATATCCTATCATATATCATGCCACACCATATCATGCCTTACCATATCATATCATATTATATTATATCATATCATATTATATCATATCCCCAGGACAGGTGCAAGAGAGACAGCCTAGGCTGATAGGAAGAGGATCAGAATAGGAATCAGATCTGGGTTCTAGTTACACTTCAATCTGTAATATATTTCATGACCTTCAGCAATAATAATGATGATATTGGGTGTGATAATGATAAAGTATACCTGGAAATTTCTCCCTCCTCATCTCCTCCTCTTCGCTCTCCTGGCTTCCTTCAAGTCCCAGATAAAATCATATCTTCTACCAGAAACATTTCTCAATCCCTCTTGATGCTAGTGTCTTTCCTGTTGATTATCTCCAGTTTACCCTGTATAAATCTTGTTTGTACATAGTTATTTTCGTGTCTCCCCCATTAGACTGTGAGCTCCTTAAAAACAGGGATTGCCTTTTACCTTTCTTTGTATCCCCACTGTCTAGTACAGAGAGTGGTAAATACTCAGTAGATGCTTAATAAATGCTTGTTGACTCACTAACATTTATGTAACATTTAAAGATTTATCAAATGAGTTTTTCATACAACCATACTCTGATATAAATGTTATTTTTATTTTGTAGATGAGGCTTTAGAAAGAGGTTAAATACCATTTCCAGGGTGGGGGAGAGGGAGAAAAGGGAGACAAAAACAACTTTACATGATAAATGATAAATTTATTATATATTTAATATCTTTATTATATTATAATATAAATATTATATATTTAAAAGGAATCTATTGTACTTAATAGATTTGTATTTTCATGTGCATTCATCTTTTTTTATCATACTGTGTTATAGAAATGCTTGTTTTATTCCATAAATTAAAAATAAAATAAAAAATTAAAATATTACATCATATGTCATATATATATAATTTAAAAAATGAAGACATTAAATGATTTGCTCAGTCATATAGCTATTATCAAAGCTGTGACTCCACATCCAGCCTTCTTTCTGTTATACCATAATGCTTAGCTTTCTAGAGAGTAGGAATTGTTTCATTATTAGTATCTGTTTCCTCAACAGCTAGCACAGTGCCTGGAATATGGTAGGTGCTTGATAAATACTTGACAATTGATTAATCTGTTTGAATTGCCTCATTTAAAATACAGGGAGAAAAAAATACCTGCTTATCTTGCAGAAATGTTATAATCATAAAAGGAAGTGAATTTGACGTGTTATACCTGTGACAGATATCATTATTGTGCTTTGCATCTAATGGCTAATAGATGTTTGTTGAGTTGAATTAACATTATGATGATTGTAAATTTCCAATGAAGTAAGTCATCTTATACTTGTTTTCAATGAGAGTTTGATAGTTGTCTAGGAAAGCTGCTTCTGACTTGCACTAATTTTGTTTCAGATTCACACTCAGATGATTTTGACCCTGCTTCTACCAAGAGCAAATATGACTCTCTGGATTTTGATAGTTTACTGAAAGAGGCCCAGAGAAGCCTGCGCAGGTAACAAGCCCACAGGCTGAGGATAATGGAGGGATGGTGAATACCTCACAGGACATCACGTCCTTCAATACGGACTCTTGAAAGTCATACCTAGGAATTTATCCTACTTTACACTCTCTGTACAAAAATTAAAAAAAAAAAAAGGTTTACATGAACACGGCTGCTGATGAGGGAAGAGGCCAAAGGGACATCAGTAAGCACATGTTTATCCATGGGGGTCAGCTTTGCTTTCCTGGGATGAAAGTGGTGATTGTTGTGACATTTTGTGTGTGTGTGTGTGTGTGTGTGTGTGTGTGTGTCTAAGCACACATAAATGTGTGTTTGTGTGTGTGTCTTTGTATTTGGGAGGGTGAGGGTACAAGCAATGGCTGACGAGAGTGCAAATGCAAACCACTTGAAGCGACAGCAGTTCCATAGAGAGACACTTTAAACCTAGAACTTCAAAATGTCCGTGCTGTATCTAAAAAGAAAAAAAAAAAGGAAAAAGGAAAAAGCAAACAAACCGCAGATCACCCTGTACTGACCGTGGGTGATTCCTGGGCTTCAGCTGCTGAGCTCTTGTTTTTTTAGAAAGAGAAAACACAAGCAAACACAACCTTCTCTGGTATTGTAATGATGATGTGACAATCCTGAGGAAAGGACAGGTCCCACAGACCTAACATCCTCTCTCTCTCTCTCTCTCTCTCTCTCTCTCTCTTTTTTTTCTTTTTCTTTTTCTTTTCCCTTGTTGACCTTGGAGCCTGGATGGAAGCAAAAACAGCGGGCACCGGACTATTAAACCTCTTAACATTTTGAAGTTTCTGTAGTTCATCCTTTATCCTGACACCCATGTAAATGTCCCAAATGTGGATCTTCCACAGCAGATTTTAAAAGCCTTGTCAATGGTCACACGTGCAACTTGTTCAGCAGTTCTTTCTGATGAGTGGACACGATGTTACGTTATTAACGAGAGTTGGGTAGAACTATCTGGGATGTGTTCAGATAGTGAGTGTATTTACTACATTCTCCAATGTAGTTAAGTATTTACAGATGTTCAATGGAGTATTTTTATTTTGTGTACATACTCTATGACAATGTTCTTTTTTTGTTACAGCTATGCACTGTAAATGCAGCCTTCTTTTCAAAACTGCTCAATTTTTCTTAATCAAGAATATTCAAATGTAATTAGGAGGTGAAACAATTATTGTACACTAACATATTTAGAAAGCTGAACTTATGCTCATATATATTTGATTGTAAAAACAAAAAAGACAGTGTGTGTGTTTGTTGAGTGCAAAACAAAAAAGAAAAAAAAAACCACAACCGTTGCTTTATGCACATTCATCCCTTCTTCGGTGAGCTTTGATCTAAGCTTCTTGTCAAGGAAAAACCTAGCCCCCAAAAGGTATTCACCACTTCTTCAATTTTTTCCCACATTTTCTTGTTGCTTGTTTTTCTTTGAAGTTTTATACACTGGATTTGTTAGGGGGATGAAATTTTCTCATCTAAAAATTTTTCTAGAAGAGATCATGATTTTATGTAAAGTCTCTCAATGGATAATCATTAAGAAATGTTTTTATTTTCTGTATCAACAGTAGTTTTGAAACTAGAGGTCAAGGATCTTTTTAAAATGCTGTTTTGTTTTATTTTTCGTGATTTTAATTTGATACAAAATGCTGAGGTAATAATTATAGTATGATTTTTACAATAATTAATATGTGTGTATGAAATCTATCTTTGAAGCCAGTATCTCTCTTCATTGGCAGAGTTCAAGAATGGTATTTATCTATATTTTTTACAGTTATGCATCCTGTATAAATACTGATATTTCATTCCTTTGTTTACTAAAGAGACATATTTATCAGTTGCAAATAGCATATTTATTATAAATTATGAGGTGGCAAAAATAAGAAAGCCAGTGGAAATGTTATACCCAGGATGCATGACACTTGTCAGGTTCGAATTTTAAGTACTTCATTTGGGAAATTCAGCTTTTGCAGAAGCAGTGTTTCTACTTGCACTAGCATGGCCTCCCAATGTGACCATGACATTGTTCTTGATAACATTGCTTCTTCTAAATTAAAAGGAAACTTTTGAAAATCTCCATCTTGAGCATCTGGATTTCATCTCAAGTGTGGAGTCCCTGGAGCTGAATCAGTAAAGTCTGGAGAATGTATTCAAGTTTATAAATTGATATTCGATTACTGTTTGGCATTCATGACTTCGTTTTAAAGATACGGTATACCTCCCTACTTAATCTTTCTGTTCTCTCCCCCTCCCCCCATGCAATCTTATAAAACTGATTTCACCCCCCAGGCTAATGCAGCGGATTTTGATAGCTGCATTCATTTATCACCAGCAGATTGTGTTCTGAGAGATTCCACTGTCTGTCCTGTCGGATGCTTGCTTGACTTTTTGGCTTCTTATTTCTAAGTAGATAGAAAGCAATAAAAAAAATTAAAAAAAATAAAAACTTGTTCACTGGTTCTGCGTTACAACAGTAACACCTTTAATCCGCCTAATTCTTATTGTTCTGTAGGTTAAAATGCAGGTATTTTAACTCTGTGTGAACGCCAAACTAAAGTTTACAGTTTTTCTTTCTGAATTTTGAGTATCTTCTGTTGTAGAATAATGATAAAAAGACTATTAAAAGCAATAAATTATTTTTAAGAAATCAATATTTAGTATATCATATTATGTGTTCAAGGACCACCAGATGCATTACCTATTTTGCCTTTAAATTTTTGTGATCCAGTTTTAAATACATTTTCTCTTTTGCCCTGAATTGCTGACATAAATATTTTTTTTAAATTTATTAAAAGATAGCAACACAGACCTTATGTCATGGTTTAATTTTTTTCCCCACTGGCCTGATGAATATTCTTTCCATGAAGATAGCTTTCCTCCATGGACTTCAAATTGCCTATAAAATTAGCGCAAAGAAAGGATCACTAAACCATCCGAATAGTGCTTTTTATATCTTAAGCAGACACTGTGGGTAGCCCATCAAAAATGTAAACTGTGTTCCCTTTATTTTTAAGAGAACATTTCAAATGAACACATGCACCACATCATTATTGGAGACCCATTTCAGCATAGATCTGTATGTCTTTTAGATGAACAGTGTGCTGTTGCTTTCATGCTGTGGTAAGTATTCCATCTGCAATATTGGTAACTAAACTGGTGCTTTATACATGTGGGCCTTTTAAAGAGTCATATAGCAGAGTAGTTCCTACCTAATGCAAACTGATTAAGACTCCAAAATAAGGCATCTTCAAATTGAGGGGCTGGGGGAGAGGGAAATCCATCTATGCTAAATGAGTTGGAACAACCTTTGGGCTATCAATGCCCAAGACAGCATGGTAAGGAGGGTCTACTCTACTAGGGCATGAAGGTTGGGTCAGTTGAAAAAAAAAAAAAGGAAACCTTTTAATGCCTTTAGGTATAAGTTTACAGTAGGTAATGATTATGTGTCCTTTGTGATGGCTGTAATGAGAACTTCAATCACTGTAGTCTAAGACCTGATCTATAAATGACCTAGAATAGCCATGTAATATAATGTGATGATTCTAAATTTGTACCTCTGTGACAGACATTTTCAATAATGTGAACCACTGATTGGATGGAGCTACTTAAAGATTTGTAGGTGAAAGTGTTATACTGTTGGTTAAACTATGCTGAACGGGGAAAGTGAACTTTTAGTTTAGCCCTCAATGGGCTATTTTCCACCTGCCAATTCTACATGTACTGTTGTGTGGTTTTATTCATTGTATGGAAATTCCTGTGATTTTTTTTTAATGTGCAGTACACATCAGCCTCACTGAGTTAATAAAGGGAAACAAATGTTTCAAATCCACTTCTGTTTTCTTATTTATCATAACCAAACCCCTGACATGTTTCTTAGATTGGGGCACATTTATTCTATTACTATTCTATTTCTTCCTCCTTTCTCTGTTTGCCTCTTTTACATACCTATAGTAGGACTTCAGCTTTAATATAACATAAACCTTGTAGAGTTTACCTTGTTTTTTTTTTTTAAGACAGAGCAAAGGTAGACACAGAATTTATAAAATGAAATATAATAGGTGAAAACCTGACGTGATATTTTTCTAGGAGTTAGTCCTGTTTTATTATTGTAATCTGGGCAAAAAACCTTTTTAGGCAACAATCATTGCCCCAAGGGAGAATATGACTTAACATTCAGCTTAGGAAACAATTCTACTTAAAGCATACAGAACTTCTCTCGGGCACTTGTAATGTACCTAAGTCTTTCATTCTTCTGTTATCAGGTTGAATCTGGGACAAGTTAATAGCCAATGGTTATGATGATTCGACTCACAGGTAAAGAAGGTATCTGTTGTTGGCTGGGAAAAGAAGCCATGTTCTTATCCCTCTCCTCTGTTTAAATAGGACTGGGGCTGACTTCAATCAGTATGGCCGACCACATTTTCTCTAAACAAAAAGAAAGCCTTAGAGTACATTATAAAATTGACTTGCTTCCTTTCCTGACCTGATGACACAGATTTCTAAATCACACAGAGTATCTCATCCTTTTTGTTGGCATCATAGTTGGACTTTTCTTTAAGCCTTCATTTTTCTGTCTACCTTAAGCCCCTTGAGGGAAGAGAGGAGAGGAAAAGAGGAAGACTTCGTTATCTGGGGAGGTCTTGAGACGTCTTGCCTAGAAATAAAGATAATGCTAAGTTTCCTGCAAAACATTAAGTTGTCTCTGACTTTGATGTTTCTAATGGCAGTTATTGCTGAAATCAGTATTAGGCAGGTAATGTAAATAGGAGTCTTTGATACAGAAATAGTTCTTGACTTGATTTAAAAATCACTCAAACTAAAATATCCATCAAAACCAATACTGTTATGTTCATATTGAGTCCAAATTCTATTTGGGGCATAAAGAGGGTTATCATTTTTGTGGAATCATTAGCTTATATTGCATATTGTTATGAGATTTTATTTTATTTAATGTTGGTGTTACTGGCTGTCTAGGTATAACTCAATATTAATTATAAATACATTTTAGCCAAACTGTACTCAGTTGCAATATTTATTCTACATCTGAAATTTAAATAACCCACATTGATATCTCTTATTTTCAAGCAAACTACACAGCATTATAAATCAATCTTCTCTGCTTTATCAAACAGTAGAAAGCAATAAAGAAGGTCACAAATAGTACAGTAGTTCCTTGGAGGTTTGTAACATTATGATTTAAACCTTAGAAAGATTTAATCAAAAGTTGAATTAATCCCTAGAGGGAAAGGATTCTATATAGATTCTACTGATAGACTCACTGCAACGCATTTTCATTTTGCTAGAATGTGTTTGTTAATATATTGAAACAAAAGAAATCTTTTCCGAGAGAGATGTGAAAAGTATTTCTTTGTGGGAAAGGAATGATAACATGCAATCCACAACTTCCTATTTATGTTCTTCTCTGCCATTGGAAAGATCCCGTGTTATTGAACTTGATTGTGGTCTCTTCTTTTTAACCTGTACAATACATTTAAATACCTCTTTTTTTTTTTCATATGTCTTTGGATACATCTGCTATCTTCCAGATGCTACATTTTAGTCAAACCCTTGGAATGTGGCACTCTAACATAATGGTTTTTAACTTGCAATATTGGGTTCAGATGGTCTCATCTTAATAAATTTCTCAGAATTTATAGTCATTAGAAAATTGAGGGTAAAGTTGGCTATGAATATTCAAATTGACAGAGAGTGATTCCCAGAAGCAAGGGTGCATGGTAAAGGCTAGGTCTGAGGTTGACATTGCTTCTCTGTTACCTTTCCAAACCCATTGAATTGACAAGACTCATCTAATCATCATTGCATTTGCAGGAGGAACAAATTTTAATTGATTAGAGGGAAAGTGTGAAAAGTTTTAGAGAAGACCAAAAGATCCTATATTCTTTTTTCATGATTAAATAAAATTAGAATGATTACATATGCACACCAAGTCTTTATTATGGAAAAGACCTAAAGATTGTTTTGTCTTTAATTTATGCATATAGCACTTACTGAATGTGAGTATTTAGTGTG